TATCTATCTATCTATCTATCTATCTATCTATCTATCTATCTATCTATCTATCTATCTATCTATCTATCTATCTATCTATCTATCTATCTATCTATCTCTATAACGCCCTCATTTGAGGCGCCGAGGGCGCGGCAGGGCCGCGCTTGCGTAACACCCTCGCTGCTCTCCACCAGGCGTCTTTATTTATGACATGGGCGATCGAGACACGAAAACATACAAACAGATAACGCGGCCCGCACATTACAGGGAGAGTTATAAAGTCATAAAGATTATTTTTAAACAAACGGGCTGGCGTTTTGATGTGGTGCTGGTTAAATACCGGAACCGTTTCAGTGATCTGGGGCTTGGTTTGCCTTAGATGGAGCCTACGGGAGCGCAGGGCACGGGGTAAGCAAGGGCAGCCGACGCGGGGGAGAGACGCGCCGGTGGTCGCCCGGGGAGCGAACGGCAGCTGGAGAAAGCGGGATAGCGCTGGCGTCGTCGGAAGCCCGATACCGTGCCAGCAGCCATCGAGCGCGGCTCCCACAGCGGACGGCAGCATGGGGCCGAAGCGGCGGGTTTCGGGGCGCCCGCGGCGGGAAGGAGCGTCCCGCCTGGCAGGGCGCGCTCCCTCGGAGGGGATGGGGGCCGGGGAGCCGAGGGAAAGGGAGGGCGGCCTTGGGACACAGCGGCGGAGCGGGAAAAGGAGCTGCGCAGCGGCAGGCAGCATCCCCAGCTACCGTCGCTACAAAGCCTACTGAAGCCGCAAGAGAGCGATACGAAAAACACAGCCACCGGTAAAGGTTCTCCCTAATAAGAAACGGCATACATTCCCGAACTGTAATACTTCCCATTTAAAGTAGCAAAGAGTTTTAAAGCATGTTGTAGCGACTGGCTGCTCCTCTGATCCTTCACAGAGTCAGCCTTCCTTTTCACAACGTCAAAGAGGATTTTGAGGGAGGTAAAATAGGGCAACGCATATGCACCTTGCAATTTTTGAGGTGCAAGAGTATGTCTGCTCAGACGCTTTGAAAACCTCGGTTCAGTCAGCGATCTTGGCATTTTGTTCAAATCTTTTGGCGTTTTTTCACCTGCAGAGCAGCTTTCTTCCCATTCTGCAGGTGCAGAGATGAAGGGAAGTTCCTCCTCCCTCCTGCTTTGCCCGAGGGAAGGAAACCGAGGACCTCGGTTAACGTCCTGCTCTTCCCGCGCGAGCGGGTCGGGCTGAGCAGGGACACCGCGCGCGCAGCGTGGGGCGTCTGTCATTCAGCTTTGTTCCAACACCCAAAATTACAAGCCTTCACCATCTGCATTAGAAGTACCTAAGAAGAAAGGTTATAAGAAAAACAAAACAGATTCATTACTCAGGGTATTGCTGAAAACAAAAATACTAGAGGCAACTGCTGACCTCAGAAATCGGGCGGGTAAAAATTACGCTGAAGTGTTTCAGCAAAGCCAGCAAATCTGCAAACAGTTGCAGTCTTCCCGTAGCAGCTGTAAAACAATAAAGATTAAACGAATCGAAAAGCAGATTCAGAACTGGTGAAAGGAAGTTAATTCATTCCTCTCTATCCACAAAGCAGGCATGTCACGGACAGCAGCGAGAACGGCTTTCCTGCCGGTGGTCCTCAACACTCGGGTGGAGAAATCTGCTCCGCAGCGAAGAGGCAGTTCTGCCTCCGCTGCCTGTCAGTCTCTCTGAGGCTCCTCAAGAGCAAAGCGTGACTGCGGTCTCGGTTGTTTCTGTTTACGGCTACCGCGGCCATAGAAGAGAAATACCTAGGTAAAACTGTCTTAGAAAGTCTGCGGTAACGCCGAGACATTAATGAGAGAAAGTTTGAACGGGTACCTGCATTGTATATACCATCAAAGACCTCTAGTCTTCCAATGGACTGGCTTCCTTTTCTTCTCTGATCTTCAGGTTCTCCCTTTCTCTACTGACATAAGAAAAGAAAAAAAAAAAAAGCCCAAATCAGCGTCCGATATTCTGAGCAGCAGAGACACCTTCCGAGTTACACATAACATACATAATATATAAAAAACAGCTATAGGATAAGCTAATAAGCACGCTGCACGCACGGTGGCCAGCGTCAGGTTCACGGAGGAAAGAAGAGTGGGCATCTGCCAGCTACACCTCAACAGCTGGGTCCCCCTCCGAGCGAGGAGCCGCTCTGAAGGGCAAGAGCAAGACGATGACTCCAAAGCTTGTTCATCCCGGGGCTCTGTTCTGCCTGCAAGTAAGCAGCCACTTATTGCTAATTGCGCTGGCAGTTTTGCATTGCAGATGCTTAGGGTAAGGTCCAAGCCAATGATTCAGAATAGCTACAAAGATGTATTTGACATACTTCCCCCAAAGCCCGTCTCTCTCTCTCTCCTCTGTCCTTACAGTTCAGTGTCTGCCACCTCAGTCGTCTTCTCTTGCGCTTTCTTCTGATGGTGTCGACAGATAATCACAACTGTCACCACAATGATCATCAGAACACAGGCAGACCCAATGGCCACCGCCAAGAAGTGGATTTCCGAGAAACGCACTGCGTGGAGAGAAACAGATAAATGAACAAGAGGGACACACAGAGGGCTCTTGGTGAGGCTGGGAACCTGTATCGGGGCATATAACCTTTCCGCAGGCTCCTTTTTTCCTTGTATCCGTTAACTACCCTCATGCTTTCTCTTTATAATCCCTTTTCTCCCACATATTTTCCCAAATGTGGGGGAAGACCTGCCAATGCTTCGCACTGGCTACATCGACATGACCTCTGGTGGGGTTCTTGGCCTCTCACCTTTCTGCACAACTCTGAGTCGCACTTCGCCAATTGTGCCACCAACATCTGGTGGGTTCTTCACCTGGCAGGTGAACGTCCCGTTGTCAGTGGGCTGCAGATCCCAGATGACGATGGAAACGTCATTTCGCTCAATATTCCCATCCCAGGTGACCCGCTCTTTAAACCGTCCAGCGGGCCACATGTAGGGCTCCTTCAGGTAATAAAATACCTACAAGAAAAAGGAAGCTGTCGTTCCCGCGCACCGCGCAGCCTTTGTGACAGAAGCAGCGCGCGGAAGCGGAGCGGCACCGGCTGAGGCACGCGGCCGGAGCGGAGGAGAGCCGCCTTGGCCCAGGCGCTCTCGGATGAGCTCTGAGGCCATTTCAAAAGATGGCGCCTTGCGCGTTTCAGCCGCGCTTGCCCATACCCACGCCTGGGATTTCTGCAGGCGCCGGGCTTACCCAGCACCGGGCCTTGGGACTGGTTTGTTTGGGCAAGCGTGCATCAATGAAATGGGGCATAAAAGTCTCACGTACCGGCTCGTGAGAGCTCAGGTCCTCAGGCTGGAAGTTCCAGGTCACCGACAGGTCCGGGCTAATAGGGCTGCTGCTGGAAAAGGTGCATTTTAACCGCAGGTTAGTGCCGTTCACAGCATCCACCTCCTTGGAAGTATGAACTTCCACGGCTGCCGCAGGCCACAGTGCTGCAGGGAAAACAGCGGGGGTTAGAGATAAAGAAAACTACTGTCTAGGAGTAAGCTCATCCCTTTTCCTTATCTGCATTTAGTCTATGCAGGAGCCTGCCTTATCTGTCAACGTTTAACCGGACAGTCACAAGCAGCAGATGTAATTACCGAGGGAGGTGATCCTGCCTCTCCAGGGTCCAAGAGATGCCCTGTGCTTTGTGGATTTTGCCAGTCGACCTGCAAGCTGCACGGTGCTGGTTTCAAGGGAGTCTGCGTTCGTCCGAACTGCTGGTACAGCGCTTGCTTTGTGGTTTTGTGTCTGCACAGTTAAACACTAACAGATCTGATAACTGGCTGAGAAAGGACAACTGAGAAGGACTTGCCTATAGGGACAATAGACTTCGTTTTGGGGGGAAACGCCTCCCTTCAGGCATGAGCAAACTTGGCATCTAGGAGGTGCAATGCTGTTGTAAATGCCACCCCTCCTTAAATACACGCTTGGTCCTGCCTGGCACCAAAGACACCGTATCACTTTTCACGGGCTTGCTCTGGTCACGTTTCCACGAGCGATTACGCTCCACTGCACTCAACTGCCCAAGCAGATTTCTTCAGAAAAGCAGTCCTGCCCTTTCAAGTAGCCCAGCCCCAATAAACGATTGCTATTTCCCATGCTAGAACTTTCCTTTAGACGCTTATCAGCCTGACACCGTGGTGAAAACTGCTCTTAGCGATGCAAGAAGTGCCTGTTAGAAGGTTAATAGCCCAGCTGGACAACTACACTCAAATATAGTCAGGCTGAGGGACTCTACAGGAAATTCTCGAGGTAAATCTGTAAGCATTTGTTTGTCAAAGAAACATCCTCCCTTAACCAAACCACCACAGCTGCTGCTTTAAAAATAAGTTAGCATCACTAACTCGATGCTCCCCTGACAGAGAGGCAATCAGCGAGCGAGAGAGCGAGCATCAAGACACAGAAAGAAGAAAAACAAAAAACAGGAAAGAAAACCAAAGGGCTGCTGGCGAAGACGCCTCTCCCGCCTGAGCCCTAGCTGTCCTCTGGCTTGCCCTGCCAGTCCAGGCGGAGTTCAATCGCTACCAAAACGGCGGGGCTGCAAGTCCCCACTTTTTTCCCCGCAGCCGCCGTGCTGCGTGCCCGACGGCTGTAGCTCTCCCAGTTCGAGGGTTAGCTTCTGCAAACCAGCAGTGCGGAGCTCACCGCCTCGCTGCTGCTGAGAGGGACAGTCCTCCCCGTTCCTCATCATGAGCTCCCATTGGTTTCCTTTTCCTCACTGGTCAAACTAACCCAGCACAAAAAGAAAATATTAATAATATCCTGACAAGTCAGGAAGACGAGTTAACTCGCCCCAGTGTGATTCAAGCAAAAAAAAAAAAAAAAAAAAAAAAAGCTTATCTGGGGTTGTAAAACAGGGCTTCATAGCAAAGACAATGAATACATTTCCTGTATTTGAAAGTCATTTATAACCAAAGGCTTCCTTTCCAGAGAATTTCTTTTCTCAAAGGAGAAAATATTTGAAATGCCAAAACATCGAAGGTGTTCACATTTGAAAAACGTCACTGGCAGAGATTGTGTTTCTCATCCAAAGATTCAGTGTCAAATCTTTTCATGTTAAACTCCTTTAAAAGAACGACTGTGGGAAACCAGCGTAAAATTCTTTTTTCAAGACAGATTACCCAGCGCATCCGTGTGCGGAGGCATTTGGGAAAGGAGGACACGGTGTTCTTAGATTCCAGCCATATCGATATAAACCACTGAAAATTCAAGTGAGTTTATTGTCGGTCTGGAATCGTTGCTGCGTAAAGGATCGAAACCCAGCGCTGCTTAACAAGCTCGGATTGTCTAGTAACAAAGATAGTGGAAAAAAAACCGTCTCGGAGTAAAGTCCAGACTCCTGGCGGGAGGGGAAAAGACGTGTAACCAGAGCTCGGAATGAGATCAGGGGTGTTCTTCCGCCTGAACACACCTAAACCTGTTTGTCGAAGAAACTCAATCTCTTCGTGTCACTTCCAGGGAACCCCGGACCGAAAGAAGCGCAGCAATCGTCCACAACAGTATCCGAGACTCCTATAACGTCGCTGCCTTAACGAGGGTGATCGTTAAGGGATCAGAAGAAGAAAGTCAAGACGGGAGCTGAGGCCAGACAGAACCAGGTTTCCTTACCTCGGAGCTGTACCCCAAGGACGAGCACAGCACCCAGCCAGCTGGGGCCACCCATTGGGGAGACAAATCCGCACTCCACGGGCCGAGCAGCGCCGGAAAGAGAGATTCACGTCGGGTTCTCGATAACCGGGTGAAAGAGGAGTTTCTCCAAGCCTTGCCAGCACAGAAAAGCAAATTCCTTTCTCTCTGTCTGCTTGGCCTGCCAGGCAGCGTGAGTGCTCCCTCCTGCTTGAGTCAGAGAGCAGCACTCCCTGCCCTTGCACGGGAAGGCAAGGTGTGGCCAGCCCAGCTCACTTCTGGGGGTAAAACGGGGACATTTTCGAGGCAAGATTAATTTCTTCTGCCTCCCATCTTCCTTTGCTCTTTTGTGTTGCAATCATCCCTCCTCCCAGCCTCCACCTGAAACCACTCCCCTCTTGTGGGAGGTAGTTTTCCTCCTAAAAGAAAATTTGCCTGCAGGTGTTTATAGGTAGCCTGAAGGAACGAGGGCCATTTCTTTGGCAAAAAGCAGCAAACAGTCCAAAAAAAGCGAGCCAAAACAGACAGTCTGCGGTAGCAGTGTGGGCACACATCCAGTGGCTGGGAGTGTCCCGCTGAAACGCAGATGCCTACAGTAAAATGAAGCGATCGTTATAACGTTACGTGGCTGCAGCCGTCCCGCGGAAGAACTGGGAGGCTGCGTTAACTGGTGCTCGTGAAGTTCTCGGGAGAGTCGGGAGACAATCACGCTGGCCACGGGTCCAGCCCGGTGGTAGTCCGGGCACAGCTGGGGAAACCCCCCGTGCTTCACAAGCGGCGCAAGGCACTGGAGAAACTCAGGGCGACACAAAATATTTCCCTGGTGGCACGTGGCAGTTGTGAGAGCACGAAACCGAGGCGTGCACGTGCGTTGGCAAAATAAGGATGTTTGCCTTCGAAGACCATAAATCACACTAACAGCAGAACCTGCTGCTGGCCGTGGCTGTGTTTGTGTCTGGTCCCTGGTCTAGTTCCAAGCAGTCATCCCGGGTTATGAGCTTTCATTGCGACTGATGCTAATTCTCCTGGCAGCGGTGGCAAGGCAGGGACGGGGAGGATGCCCTAACCCCGGCCGGGGTTTTGAAGGGCCCCCTTCAGCTCAGAGCTGGGGAGCAGAGCGAGGGCACGCTCCCGCTGGGGTGTGTCGGATTGCCTGGGGCGCGCTGAGGGGGTGCCAGAACCGGGCAGAACGAGGTTTTGGCCGAAAGCGGACAGCAGCAGGACTCCCTCCTCGTCAGCAAGCATGTGGACACCTCTCCTCCCGTCTGCTGTTGTAACATCCTTGCGGCAATTTCTGAGGAGAATACTGAATTTATTTTTAACTTTTAAACTTCAAGTTACAAGTTTGGCAATGTAAAAAAGCACCGAGGCCATCAGTCTCACGGATCGTCCGCAGAACGGCACAGAGAATCTCCTCTCTGCTAACGTGTCTCTGCTGATAGCTCTGACACACCAGGCATCTCAGTTTTCACGGGAATAATCTGGCCCTGCGTTAACCCTTCATCACTGCCTCTCCCCAGATTTCCACTCAGTTACTCTTCCAAAACATCATTTCCATTTCTTTCATTGCCACCGTAAATATTTATGAGGCTGGGTTGGCTGGTTTGTTTGTTTTGCGAACAGAAGATACTTTTGCCCTTTCCGACTCTGTTGCAAGTGCCTGGCAGGCGGTGCTCAGCAGCCGGCTTGCTGCCGCCGCCGAAGCCTCTCCTTCTGCCCGGCAGCCGCTGCTCGTCCCCGGGCAGCCCCCGCGGAGCCCAGCAGGACGAGAGCGTTTCTCGCCGTAGCTGCCCTTTGGCCGCTCCGGCCGCGCCGCGCCGCTCCCGGCTCTCGCTTAGGACCACGTTCGTGTAACGCACAGGACCGGGAGCTTTACTTGTGGACGTTTACCAGCCTTTAACATCTTGTTTCAAAACGTGCTGGCTCCAGCCCTTAAGAGACGACCATGTCCCCGGCGCCCTTACTGGTACCATAAATTCGCTCGTTTTTCATTCTGAAACAGAAATAAGTAAAAGAAAGATCTGACAGCTAGAGCGAGCCCCGCAATAAATGAAGGCAGCCCCCAACGTTGTCATTGGCCATGTCATTCGAGGGCGAGCTCTCGGGACCGAGCAAGAAGCCGGTTCCATCCTTCCAGGCATCCGCGGAGGGGTCCCTGGCGATGGCGCAGAAGCGCGGCGGGCCCTTGCGGAAGGAGGGAGCCTGGGCTGGCTCCGCAGCCCCTGCGCTGGACACGAGCCCTCCGGTCCCCGCTCTCCCCGCAACCGCAG